TCGAAGAAGGAGATGGTGTGCTTGCGGTAGATCTCGTCACCCGGAGGGTGCTTTAGCTTGCACTTTTTCTGTGGAAACGTGACAGGTGCATAACAAGATTAGGGGTGAAAGTACGCCAAATACGTCCTTTCACATGCAATGCAACCGGTGGATCGCGGGCCGTTGGGTCTATATTTGTTCTTAATTCTAACCCGAGCCCCTCACACATTTCAGTCTACGCATTATTACGAAAATTATGCCGCAGTCGACATTCTTCATGTGAAGAGCCCTACGCCATAAGAAAGCATGCGCAGAAGTGTGCAAGAGTATTCATGTTAACGTGGATGAATTGTGATGAACGCGACGGGGAACGAAGGGTGATGTTTGGTAAGCGTAACAACTTCGACTTGAGCACAATTCACGCAAACTGCTGTGAACACAGTGAGCAGCAATTTAGCATAAAGTTCACTTACGATGTGTCTCTCCAGGCACTTCGAGCTTTTTCCTGTATGCCAGACAGACTCGCAAAGGTATATGCACCCCATCTTGGTCATTTCCTGAAATATGACCGCAGAAGAATTTGATCAATATTTGTTCTAAGCCTTCTTGCAGCAGGCTGGTAAACATCGCCTTTCTCCACACAGACGAAAAAGACAGCGTCCCAGGCATGGCATGACTGCCTCCCTGCTCTTCATCTTCTATCAATTACCATATTAACCGCTGTACATACGCCACTAAGATGCTTTTCGCGGCGTCGTGTGCGCGAGATGAGACATATCTGTACTATGAAGATCATACAACACAGACGGAGTTCAAAGACATCAGTGTATGACGAAAATCATTCAACACAAGTGAATGGTGCCCGTCGACTTTAGGAAGTCAACATATGCCAGAAATGCACTGCAATGCTGGTCCTTGTCGAGCTTGGATTTTGTTTTCATTTCATGAGCTTTCAAAAGCTTTAACACAACAGATGACGCCAGCAGGCTTATTTCTAACTGGCATTCTGGAAAAAGCAGGTTTTGACACTGAAAAGATGTGGTCATTGTAAATGACGAAATCGATGTTCTTGGAGTCAATTACGCTCCCAGTGCTTACAACCATAATAGCAAGCAGCGCAGCAGCCTGGTAAGTGCAGTACCAGTGCAGTACCGCTCTCACCTGAGGGTAAGGTGCGAAGTACCAGGGCCCGCGCTCTCACCTGAGGGTAAGGTGCGAAGTACCGGGGCCCGCGCTCTCACCTGAGGGTAAGGTGCGAAGTACCAGGGCCTGCGCTCTCACCTGAGGGTAAGGTGCGAAGTACCAGGGCCCGCGCTCTCACCTGAGGGTAAGGTGCGAAGTACCAGGGCCCGCGCTCTCACCTGAGGGTAAGGTGCGAAGTATCAGGGCCTGCGCTCTCACCTGAGGGTAAGGTGCGAAGTACCAGGGCCCGCGCTCTCACCTGAGGGTAAGGTGCGAAGTACCAGGGCCCGCGCTCTCACCTGAGGGTAAGGTGCGAAGTACCAGGGCCTGCGCTCTCACCTGAGGGTAAGGTGCGAAGTACCAGGGCCCGCGCTCTCACCTGAGGGTAAGGTGCGAAGTACCAGGGCTTGATGCGGTGGCGACCGAGCTCGATCATCTGGACGTTTTTGACGCGCGTCACCACGTCGTCCTGGTGCACGGCCATGCTGCCGGTGCGTGGCACGGCCGAACCCGGGTCGACCGGCTCGGACGCCGGCTCCGGCGCACCCGGCCCGTCCCGCCGCTCCAGCTTGGCCGGCGGCTGGCCCTGCGCCGGCCACCGGGTCACCGGTCACGTCGCCGTTCACAGGTCACCTCAGAACGGAGCCACAGCTCAGGCGTGCTGACGATGGGGCCAATGGTGGCCGAAAGTGTGCCGTACAACCCCTCAGAACCGCCCCGCGGCCGCTCCCCCTGAATCCGGCAGCGCGAGGTCACAGTCTGGCCACGTCACGGTCATGGGTCACGAGACATCGAGCAGGTGACTCAGTTCGAACAAATGTCATGTCGCAGGGTCATGCCGATCCTAGTGTCTCCCCTCAACCGACAGCAAGCTGCTGGCATAGCACAACACTGGCCGCACCCACCGGCTGACGCTGGTACCCCAGAGCAGTCGGTACCAGGCAGCCGGTACCCCAGAGCAGTCGATACCCGGCAGCCGGTACCCCACAGCGGTCAATGGCCTCTCTCAGCGCGGCGGGCTCGGGTCCGGACCGCTGGTGAACAACCTGGCGACCTGGCCGCCACCCAGCCGCTCCCGGCTCCCACCCGAAGACAGCATGACGTCAGCGGTCGCCCGCTACTCGGCTTGGCCGCCTGACCGGGTCGTACCTCCTCGGAGGAGGGCAGCTTGCGCTTCTGCGCCTTCTTTCTGAGCAGGGCGGCCGACAGGACGTTGGGCGTGCCGGCCATGTGGTGCGGCTCGGGTGACTGGACCGGTGAGCCGGACCGCGACGGCAGCGTGCTGGACGGCTCCTTCTGCAGACGGGCCGGGCACGCCCCGTCAGCGGGGCCGGCGCACGCGACCGGTCGGCACCGGCTGGACCGTCGGGACAGGAGGCGGGGTCTGGGCTCGAGGGGTGGGTCAACGTGAGCTGGGGCATAGGACACAGGAGGGGTCACGGCAGACTGGGGTTCCGAGCGTTCTGGTTCAATTGGGGTGTGGAGAAAGGAAGTGGGTTAGGGTAGAGTCGGGACAGGGGGCAGGTCCGAGTCAGCGGGAGGGACGACCACACACTCACACAGCCCCAGGAGGTGACGACAGACAAGTGGCTCGACCTCCCGCCAGACTGGCCGATGAATTTAAATCCCTACAACTGAAGGCGCCAGGATGAGCTAAATCGGACAGGAAGTGTACGTCCAGCACTAGAACAAATGCAACATACCACAGCACCAGTGTGTGAAAGAAACCGCACAAGAGTGAGCGATAGATGGGTATGTCTTCCCTTCACGCCGGCCGACCGTCCAGTCTTAAGGCAAACGGCACACCGAATTACACCTCCATTGACACAGTGATCTGTAAGCAAACCGTCAGGTGGCCAGGTATTGTCCAGGGGAAAAGTCTCCGCCGAAGCCAGCTGACACTCCACACACTGATGAGGCCTACCTTCTTGGGTGTGTTCAGCCCAGTCGTTGTACCCTGGGTGGTGGTGGTGGGCGCATCTCTGTCCTTCCGGGGGAACTGGATGCGCCGCAGATCCAGCCGCTCCTCTGTCACCCACTCATCCAGCCGCTTGTTGTCTGAGAGTGGGGCGGGCGGCCCATGTCAGCCACCGTCTCACCAGCGAACGAGTCCGACTAGTCCGGCGAGGCACCTCCACTCTGCCAGCTCCTAGAGACACGGTAACACTCGCTTGCAAGCGTTGTAAGCAAATGACACACCACCAGACCATGGCAGAGCTGAATGGATGGCCTCTCCAATCACCAGGCTGCCATGAGACGAATGCCGTGATAAGAATGATAGAACCTGGCCTTCGATGCTTTCTCCCCATCTGAGGCCACATATCGAAGCGCAGTCGCAACGCACCGACTCGCATCTTATGATCGCAGTTATAAGGCTGGGAGACGCGCGGCGGGCAGACAGCGGACCGTGGGAGACGCGCGGCGGGCAGACAGCGGATCACAGGAGACGCGCGGCGGGCAGACAGCGGACCATGGGAGACGCGCGGCGGGCAGACAGCGGACCGTGGGAGACGCGCGGCCGGCAGACAGCGCCCTACCCGCTGCCGGCCACCACCACTCACAGTCAATGTAGTGGACGTAGAACCTCTGTCGGCCATCCTCATCCTTTGTGCTGACAATCTCGGCCAATGCTGGAACACGCAAGTTTGGCGTCACTATCGGCATGGGGAATGCGCACTGACTCATGGCACTGTGGCTTATCCACCACCTAAGCAAATCACCATGGTCCAGAACAAAGTGAGTCTGGACACCAAGCTTACAGTGCCGACTGGAAGCTGCATTAATGGTCCAGTGTTGATCTTCAAGAGGTGTCCACACTAACCTGACCATCAATTAATCTAAGCAACTTACGCCACTCGTCGGTTTTCAGCATGTGCACAGGCAGCTGACATCCTTCCACAACTGAGGCCTGTAATGAAGGAGTCATGTCTGGTAAGTTCACACTTTGGGTCATGATACTTCAATTCAACTTTGTAGTCAAATCAAAATGTTATTTGAATCTACACAGCACACAATCAGTATTGAAACAGGTAGTTTCTAGAGTGATTACAGTGGGTGGCAACACGGGGTGCACAGCATCAAGGCAGATCACCTGACATTGCTACAGGTAGCTTCTAGTGATTACAGTGGGTGGTAAAACAGGGTGCACAGCATCAAAGCAGATCACCTGATATTGCTGTGTGTTTTATGAAACCAATAAATGATACTGACTGGGGTCTTGATAACAATACTGACTGGCATGATGGTTGAGGTCTTCTGGCATAACAATGATATGACAACACATGAACTATAACACAGTTTTGAACAAAGCTAATTAACAGTTTGAGGCTGCATTGAATCAGGCATATGCAAATTGAATATCCTGCAACCATGGGCCTCAATTCTTGGAGGAAGGGGGACAAGTTTCACCTTCTCTTGCATTCAACATTGCACTTGTGCCATTGTACATGGTCCTTGCTGGATGTTTTGTTCTATTTGTTCAACTCTCCCATTTACTCACTACAATGTGAGAGTTCCCAATGTCATGCACAAGTTCCTTATGCCAGTTGACTTAGCTTGTTGCCAATGCCAAATGACACCTGCATACTGTACATATTTTACAGATCATTCTGCACTGGCAATCATGCTACATTCTGTTAACATGGTGCAAATGGTCAGTGTGTAGGACAGCAGATGTTACTGACCTTGCTGTGTCGGACAACACAACAGTGGGGTGTGGAAAGTGTCAAGCCATTGCTGTTTGCAATGTAGTTGCAAGATGGAACCTGACCCTATTTAGTGCATAAATTGCATTAAACCTTATCAGTTGCTATCATGCTGTCCATAAATTTATCAACATATTTTAAGCCAGTTTTTACCTTCCTCCCCTAGAGCTGTGCACCTCTGACACTGGGATGAAAATCCTCTGCTACCAGTTAAGGCATTTTAAACATAGCACCCCAAGAAGATGCAACTACAGTGGAATGATGTGTCCTGGCCTTGATACACTTAAACCATTGTTTTTGATTGGATTACAATATTTCAAAATGATTGAGATGAAGTTAGTTAAGGCAAGGCAAGGCAAGGCAAGGCAAGGCAAGGCAAGGCAAGGCAAGGTGGGGCAAGGTAAAGAAGGATTAGGTTGTGTTTCATTGCTGCCATGACATTTTTGTTGGATATCCTAGTGACGTCACAAATGGTTTGCAGTAACGGTTTTGTTCTTAAATGCCACAAATGACATTTCAGAACAAAATCCTTACTAAATACTTCCATTATCTTCACATCCCCTTGCTTCCAAGATGTGTGTGGTGGCCACTGCTTAGAGCATCTGAGCAGCATGAATTGTGACAACCGCTTTGATGCAATAACCACTCAGTAATATGGGGACACCAATATAGTGTGGCTATGCGGTATGCCTGTAAAAACATTGTGAGCATATTTAATCTACTATATACAGATCTTACAACTTATGTTTGAAAATAGCATCACACACATCACAATAAACATCACTGAAATGTTTACCATGAGCTGCAAACCTTCACAGTCAAATCATGATCATACATTTTTCACTGTATAAGCATTCTCAGTTAATAATGTTCCATTTTGGCTGTATGGGAAACACTCATGGTCATGACCTATTTGTAAAATTTGATGTGGAATAAAACATTTTGTATACTTAATATTTAATTAAAATCCATTCTTTCTGCCACTTAATGTGGTATAGGATGCTTACAGCCCATATAAAAGTATCAGGGAATTTTGAATTGGTTGTACATGACAGCAATGAATATGCTGCAAATTTTCCCAACTTGCTTTCCAAGCACAATGTGTCTGTGAAACTTACCAATGAAAATTCAGAAGATGTAGTAACACACATTTTGGAAACATCCATGAATGTGAGTGATACCTTTACTCGACAATTATAACGCGCAGGTGACCGAAATCGAAGCCGCAAAATCCAGGCTAAAAATGACAAAAAGATGTGCTTTACTTACAACAGAATCATTAATCAGGTCTTCAGCATCGGGTAACCCTGCCATGGTATGATTTCGTTGACTGAATTTCCCCACTTTTTAAAATGAAACGCATATACCAGGCTGAACACCGAACTGACAATCGCCACAAATGCCTCCAAAAACGCCGAAAAAATTTAGGACCTAGAGAGAAGTAACAAAGTTTTTAACAAGAAAAACTTCGTTCATGGCTCCGTGTTGAAATCGATCAATAAACCAGGGTAGGTTGGGGGATGGATAAAGCTGGTACTCTAATGATCACAGAGACATCGATATTTTATTCTGCTGAGACCGCATAAAGCGAATTAAGCTACATGGCCGCCTTACACGCGCATCGAACGAGCGGTCCTCCAGGCAAGGCGAATCCAGGATTTCGTCAAGGAGAGGCCATGCTTCACTGTCTGTCCCCTGGAAGTTGGTGCCGCTCCCCTCCCGTCCCAAAAATTAGAGAAATGGGCTGTCCAGTGCAGTCTTTTGCACTAAAAAAGCTTACGAATAGTTAAGAGTGAGCTTGTTTCACCACACTTAATGCTTGCTTCAACATCTTCAGATGTGAAACATTCCCTGAAATTGGTTGCTTGGATTCGGCACCTCTTGAAAACAACTGTTATGGTGCACCGAAATGAAGGTTTTGGTGCCCCGCGCACAAGGGGTCGATTCAGGATTTCGTCGGGACATAAGGCAAAACACCATCAGCTCATTCACTTATCGATGAAGCATTGCGAACTACCGCCGGCCTGCCCGCGGAGCGATGGCCAGAATACGGCGGACCGGCAAAACCCCTTACTGTCGCCAGCGAAGAGTGCGACTGTACCTTAGTGTCTAATGCCTTAAATAGTACCTTATACCAGCGCTATTTTACGAAATCATCTGTCAGTAAAACACTTGTCTGCTCCTGGGGTCAACTTTATTTGGCCGATAGCGCATCACGGACTCACTCAATGCTGGCGGGCTGGTGGAACAGGCGATTTACAAGGCTACGATGTCCATTTAAGATACCCTATGTGATGCGCAGTAAGTGCAGCCATAAGCACATGTCATTGTAGGAGCACTATCGGCCAGCAACGTCGATCACTCCTTTCACTCAGGGCATTGTTCAGACCGCCCCGCGACGGCGTGCCGACGGCGACCGGGCTGCCGGCAGCTTGATATCCAATATACGGCAAATAGGTAAATACACTTGTGATCGCACGCAAAGAGTACCACTGGGCACGTTCCATTGCACTGGTATAGGGCTATTATCTGCCAGGATGACGCAGTTCTCCGGTTAGGGAATCTGTTTTGTTCGGTCCAGCTTCCCCGCCCCCTTCTCACTGGATATTTTCTAATCGGAGAAGTGCGCTTGACTGCCACTTGATAACACTCTACAAGTGCCCACAAGTGCTATCAAATGCGCACAGTCGCACTCTTCAAACAATGTTCTTAGCAATTGTTTTTACGGGCCGCCGTATTCTTGACTTAACGCCACAGGAATTTTCGGTCACAGTTAGCAACGCGATGTCGAGAAGTGGGTTCAGCAAAGAGGGTCACTCCGGCAGATGAACAGCTCACGATGCCGGCCCATGGCGTTCTGCAATGAAATCCCGCGCATTGTTGCATCCTCTTCGCACAAGCAGCCGTGTTTGATATTGGGAAATATAAAAAATAGACCGATAAAAATTGGATAACTTTTGAAAACCTCTGTTGCGGCGACCCGATAGCAATAAGTGGTGCGCTGTCAGGTGTTCAACTAAATGAAATGAAAACCAAAATCTTATAAATATGGCTGTATACAAGCGCTATCAAATGCACACCACCGCACTCCTCGGGGACAGTTCAAAACATTTTTCCAAGGGCTGCCGCGTTCTGGCCATCACGTTGCGGGCCAGCCGGCCGCGCTTGGTAAGCGCCGCCAGGGGTGATTGCAATAAGAAAGGTCATGTCGATAAATAAGCGATTTACAATGCCGGTCGATAGCGCGCCGACAATGGCACCATGTCTGCAAGGTCAAGCCCGACGTGTACGACTCAAAGTTTATTAAACTGGACGCCTTATCTTTTCAAGCCTCTGGTTCCACCGGGCCGCGAACATTGAGTACTACGCTGCCTGGGGTCGACTGAATAAAATGCAAACCAAAATCCGACAAGCATTTTGTACTGTCGGCTGGTAGCCCTGTACCAGTGCTATCGAATGCATACATCAGCAGCATTCGTGCACGGCTATAAGAGCATTTCCCGGGCTAATGCATTCTGGCCATGCCACGAACAGGCCGGCCGCAATTAGCAATGCGCCTTCACGGGCGAATAACAAAGGCTATGCCGGCTGATCGGTGATTTATGTTCGTAGCGAATAGCGCGCAGCAAATGACCTCGTGTGTCCACGGCCGCATCCGGCGCGCGCGAACGAGTGTTTTAAATTGGACGTGGTAAGTTTACACGCAGCCGCTGCGCCACGCTCGAAAGCACTGAGCTAACCCCGTCGGGAGCCTCCCTAATGAAACAGATTCTCTAATTGGAGAAGTATGTCATGCTGGAAGATAATAGCGGCCACCCAAGCTAGATTACACGAGCAATATCGAATTCACGCAGTCGCATTCTCGGCCCATTAGGATGCCATTTTTTCGGGTCACCGTAGTCCTGCTATGACCCTGCGGGCAGACTTGACGTGGTTCGTAATTTGCCGCCGGCAAGAGCTAATTTCAACATAATTGTCATGCGCATCGAAGTGCAATAAATTTACTGACAGGCAGTACTCTCACAATGACATCATGTGCGCATGGGTGCACCCTCCGCGCACGAAACATTCTGTTTTATAATTTGACGCTGTATCTTTGTAAATCGCCACGGCGGTCTTCTCGCCAGCTCTGAGTGTTGTAGTGTCCAGTGGTCGACCGAATTAAATGAAAGCCAGAGTCCGACGGGTGTGCTGTACTGTAAGCCAATATTTTCATTCCGGCGCTATCAAATGCACACGGTCGAACTCTTCGCGCACATTTGTAAGTATTTGTGTGACTAGTATGTGTGTGATTTGTGTGGCGACTAGTGATAGTCGTAGTGTTTTGGCCACCACGCTACGGCCGGCTGAACGCAGCTAGCAATGCGCCGCCGATGGATGATCAAAACAGGAACGGATACGTCGGCCGATGAGCGATTTACATCGCCGGATGATAGTGTATCCGCAACGACATCGTGTGCGCATGTTGCACACTTCGCGCACCAGTAAAAGTTTTCTTTTTTTAAATATGCATCGTTACCTTGCAAATCATATGTGTGAGCGACCCACCGGCATTGAGTGATATGCTGTCGTTGATCGACTGAATCACATTGATACCCAGATCGGAAATGTATGCTGCGCTGGAAGATGATAGCTCCATACCAGTGCTATCAAATGTACGCAGCTGCACTCTTCACGCACGACCAGCAGCATTTTACCCGGGCTACTGTGTTCTGACTGTTGCGCTACGAGCAGGCCGGCCGCATTTAAAGGGAGTGTTCCGCATTTCAATGGTGTTTTGAACTGAAATAGCCATTTCTGAGCTAGCTGCCCGCAAATTGGTGTGCACTATTTCGTGCTGGGTATTTCAAGGTCACCCAGGCATGTATGACGCCATAGAAATGTTACGCAAACTTTACCACCCGAATGACCATACCGTGCTCATGGTCAAGTTGAGTGTAATCTTCAAACCATTGGTGTCTGGGGTACATAAGCACGATTTCTGGCAACAACAGCGTTCAAGTGGCTACAAAGAAATGGTACGCGTGCAGTACGAGTTTCGCCCACGGATCACGTTTCGTATTACACAATACAGGACTTTGGACCCTGCTACTAGATGTGACAGAAATAAGACTGGTAATCGAATAACTTGAAGATAACGCTTTAACCAGGGGTATTAATGCAACTAAACAACCAAGAATCATGAATCAGCATGCAAGAACACCTTGAGAAAGATCCAAAACATGCGCAGATGACGATACTTGGGTTCTGCCAACAACGGACCGACAGCACAACACCTCTCAAGAAGTTGAAGTGCCACAAATGAGTCAGCCCCTCCGCTACGATAAGAATTTCACACGACCAGTTTGGCAATACTTATGTTTCATGGCGCAATCGAACAATTATGTATTGAGGAGCATACTTACAAAATAATTGAATATTGTTGTCTAATGCAGGTTTGGGCGCTTAAAAAAACATTCCAAAAATAAGTTGGATTATTTCATCTGATCTGATCTGATCCCTGCCCCAGTATCCTTAAGTGTAGAGCGTTTTCTTTGAAGAGGGCGCTCGACATGTGTATGAGGGTTTTGAACTGAAACAGCCATCTTGAAATTCATTCAGTACAGTTCAAACTCCTGAGCTGCTGAAAGGGCGTGTTCTATGGCCGGCAGTGTAACTGGCTTTTCGGCCAACGTAGCGTTTTTGTTGAAATCGCATGTTGAAAACGCATTGATAACTGTTTCCAGCTTGCCCGTAGCATGATGGCCAGAATACAGCGGCCTGAAAAACGTACAATTGTGAGCGAAGAGTTCGACTCTGATGCTAAGCACTGCCGGCGATGCCGGCATTGTCACTGTGATACCACGGCCGTCCTACCCGTAGAGTGATGATCAGACTTTGGTGGACCGAGAAAAATGCTTGCAAACATTCGCGAAAAGTGCAACTGCGTGAGCTTTACAACACTTATATAGGCTATCGTCCTCCAGGCGTAGAAATTTCTACGAACAGGTAAGTCTATTTTGTTCGGTCAACCTTTGGAAACAGTGCATCTCAGTGCGGTGCGGTAATCTGCAGCGGCGAACCAGGAAATAACTGCGCCCAATTTCAGATGCTGCTCATCGTTAGGCACAAAGCTCATCGTCGGACGTTGCCTTGTTTCTTGAAACAATTACATAATGAAAGTTAGTAGTCGTGGCGGGAAATAAAGTAATAATCCGATGTGGTAGAATTTGGTATTTGGTAGCACTTAAATCAGCTGATTTTCCTCAGGATAGGTCGGGCTGCTCGAGACATCGCATATCCTGCGAATGAAATCCGTAGACGTGGGCTGAAACCAATCAGTGTGCGCTAAGCTCCGGTTGTAATCTACAATTGGCGAGAAGCAGGGAATGTTCGTTTTTGTTGGTTAGAATAGAGCAACTT